TGTTTTCCAGATGACTTCAAATAAGTGCTCAATAAGTATATATGACTTCTATGTATAAGACGGAGAGAAGAGGCCAAAGAAAGAAATCCCGGCACTGTGAGCAATCTGCCCGGCCAGGGGGAGCTCAGAGACGTGAGCAGAGAAAACACCATCTGGGAAATGAAGCAGTGAGCAGTCCCATGGGGATGCACATGCACAGACCCGCACCTACATGTACACCCCCATACCTTTCAGCAGCCTGATAAATTTTACACATCTACTGCTCAGAAAGTCTCCAGGTAGAGCATGGAGATGCCTTGAACTGCGGATCACCTTGTGGGGAACAAGACTTGGGCACGACAAAATCTTCCCTGGCCTGTGTGCATCGGTGGGCCTTAAGCAAATCCATGAGGGCATCACACCTGTGAGCACATCACGTCTGCGAGCAGCCCAGCATTGTTTTTGCTCCAAAGGAGCCACCGGAGTGATGGAGAAGTGAGGAGATGGGCATGGCCTGGAGCTGGGCTGGGCACACAAAGCAGCTCTCCCAATGCCTGCTGCGGCTCATTGGCCTCTTGGCCATGCTAACATTTTCAATATGACAACAAGTTTCCCATATATAGTATATTTCCCAGCCTGTGAGCCTTGCCGAGGCCTCATTGCCTTCCCTTGTAGCAATAAAAGGCATTCATGACGTTTCTGTGCTGAACTGTGGGAAAAGAGCGGCAAGAAGCTGTGACCCCTGGGCAAGGGCATGCTTTGGAAACACCGTCATCGAAAAATCAACACATCAGCCCAGAAGGCCCACGGGCAGCCGATCTCCTCCTGCCTTATCAGAGACAGGGCTCCTCTGGATGCTGGGGCAGCAGCCACCGGACATTTTTGAGATGTTTATTCTATCCAGTGTTGATACTGAAGTCAATATGATAACTAAAAATAAAGATTAAAAAAAAAAAATACACTGCAGCTATTTGTTCCCGAGTTGTTATGTTTACCCATACCAGCCCGGCTTTCCATTTAGGCAGGCCGGTAGTACCAGATGTTCAGTCATTTTCAGCAACATGGTCATATCCCAGAAGATTTAGCCTGCCGGAGCAACTATATTAAACACTCCTGTAATTTTCCACTGTGACTGGAAGATCGTGATCCTCTGGGACGAGTGACAGCTGACCGGACGGGCCCCACGCACGTGCAGCCGGCACAGCCCCGAGCCCTCTCCCGGCTCTCGCGGTGGCAGGAGGGGACACCACTTCTGCAGCTTGCTAGGGCTTGGTCTGGGAGGTGCCAAGGATGGAGAAGGCCCCCATCATCATCAGCTCCTGGGAGGTGATGGGACATGCTGTTGGGGTCCATGGGCTGCCCAGTCGCCCTACGGCCAGCTGCTGCTGTGGGGAAGGATGCAGCCGGGGCTGCAGGCTGCTTCTCCCCCATCCCTCCTTGCACTCGCAGCCTGTAGGCATGGATAGTGTCTGTTAAGGTGGTCCGAAGAGAAAAATGCTTTTTAACAGATCAAAAGCAGATGTTTCACCT